GTGGACTATAATCGACGAACGATTGTGGTCGGAGTGGACTATAGTCAGCAGGGGACGGTGGTTGGATGAATTGTCGTTTGCAAGCGATAATGGTTGGAGTGGTATGCTAATGGAAACCAGGCGATGGTCTGCCGGCAGTCAACGACTGGGCGGATGTCCGACGGTGATCAGCGGACATGCAGTGGTCCGGTGGTCGGTCCGACGGGGCTCAGCGGATATGCAATGGTCCGGTGGTCGGTATTCAAGCAAAGGTCTAGTTGTGTTTGATGATCGGCGGCCGGGTGGAGGTCTAGTGGCGATAGTCGACCAGGTGGAGGTTTGATAGCAGTCGACAGACGGGAGGCGGTCTGGGGTCGGTTGGCAAACGGGAGGTGGTCCAGGACTAGTAGGTGGACGATCTGTGGTCTGATAAATAATCAACGGACACAATTCAAAAAGAGACTTTAAAATTGCATCACTACAAAATTTATTCAATAAATACTTAATGCACACATCCAGAAAAATGAGGATAACGAAGAGTAAATTAACAAAATGACATCTCTGTTAACAAGATGAAACAAGCCTTATATGTTTTTTGACAATCTTTTGGATAGTGTCCATTCTTGTGATAGAAATGACATCTCTCATCATTTTGTTCCTTCTTTTAAAATTGGATAGATGACTAATTAGTCTCTAGGTGCCATTTATTATCCTTTTCATTCTTTTTTTTATATATTTTCTTTTTAGATTAAACCTAACACATGAAATTAATTGAGTAAATTCCTAATTTCTTAAGTCTTGCTTCTTCCTCTTAAATAAGCATAATAAATTATTAGGTCAAATTATATTTGTTCATTATATTGTTGTAGTTCATATTCAATAGCTTGTGAAAATGGAATTAGGTCCTCATCAATTCCTAAATCAAATTTTGACTCTTGTAGATTAATCACATATGGTTAGGTAGTCACCCTAATACTACCGTTGCCAGGTTCCAAGTCCTGGATGAGAAAAGTGGAGGGTTGCATTAGGTAGTCGACAACCAGCGTAAAACTTATCTAATAATAATGACATGAATCCTTTAAGAAATTGTGTTAATGCTAGGGCGTCCCCTGAAAGCGACGCGCTGTATGGCCTGATGACCTTTAATAGGACACAATGGAGAAAAAGGATTCATGTAGCCGACCCCACGAAGTGGGATAAAGACTTGATGTTGTTGTTATTGTTGTTGTTGTAGATTAATCACATAATCATTTGAAATAACAGATCTTGATCATTTGGTTCATCTTACTACTAATATTGTTCATCAGTCATAAGTTCATTGGCAATAATTACATCATGGGATGTTTGATCATTCATTTGTTCTAAATATATAAGTTATATATCATCATTTTGTTCTTTTAAAATTGGACAGATAACACATTAGCCTCTAGGTGTCTTTTATTGCCCTTTTCATTCATTTTTTATTTTCTAATTTCTTAAGCCTTGTTTCTTCTTAAATAAGCATAATATGTGATTAGGTCACATTCTATTTGTTGTTTATATTGTTGTAGTCTATTTGATATGAACCATACTAGAGCTGTCAGCATTTGACCCGACCCGAACCCGACCCGAAAATTTCGGGTTTGGGTCAACCCGAATCGGGTCGAGTTTGGATTAGAGATTTCGACCCGTTTGTAAAACGGGTCGGGTTCGGGTTGACCGGGCGGGTTGCCGGGTCGACCCGAAAACCGGTTTAATTTAAAAAATCCGGATTTCCCGCCCGCTGCCCCACGCCCTGGCGCACTTCTGCCCAGCCCGCTGCCTGCTGTGCCCACGAGGCCACGACGCCACGCAGCCACGCGCGTGCATGTGGCCACGCGCCACGCGGCCACGATTGAGATAGATCTTCCACAAATTTCATATTGTCCTTGACATTATTAGCTTTTGGAATTGTTAACTTAGGCTTCTCTTGGCAAAAATTAAAATTTTGTTTTAAAAAAATAAAAATATATTTCAAATAAAGCCTTAGACCCAAAAGGTCCTGCTTCTTAAAGCAGTAAGAAAGCTATCACAAAGAAAATCTTAATGGGTCTGCTTCATTCAATGGAAGCCACTTTATAAAATTATTATTTCTAACAATTCAATGCCAACGAGGCAGGCCGCAGGGTGACGCCCACTCTAATTACATTGAGTAATTATCATTTCCTGCGATTAGATTTTGCTAAATATTATATAACGCTCTAAAATTTTATAAAATATCAAAAACATCTTATTTACATATATTTTAATTAATTTAATATCATAGTAATCCTTTTCCCAGCCCCAAAAAAAAGAGAGAGATTAAAATTTTACCTAAGAAATTCATATAAAACTTTAAATATCTAACATCTATAAAAAATAATCTAATATAGTAATATGTATGAGAGTAAATCGAAGACCCGAATCTCGAGGCAAAATCATCAAAACTTATCGTGAATGGGCATGAATCTCGAGGCAAATTCAAGTTGGAAACTTCCAAAATTAAATCCGGGACCATCCGAACTTTGATTTCAGCAAACTTATAGTCAAACTGAATGTCTCGAAAAGACAAACCCAACTACACCAAATTTGACTCAATCCGACCAAATCAACAACCCAAAGCACATTTAGAAAGTTCAAATTATAAATTGGATGATCAAATCATTTCCAAACGTGACATGCTTATAGTTGAATAGAGCGACTCGAAGAGATGAATCCAACGAGCCCAAGATCTTAGAATTTTGGCATCATTAAAACACTCAAATCCTAGATAAATAGTTCATGATCAATGAAATCAATATCAGTGATTCATCCTAAACACACCCAACCTATCATGGATCTTCTCACTATTAACTAGTCATGCCACTCCCCAAAAACTATAATAGACACAATATTCTTCACAAAAAGGAAAAAGGGAAAAGATAAGGGAGAATGAGAGAAAGAATGAAGAGAAATCTAAGATCTATCTTGCCACCAAACTCCTCCTCGACCATCGCGGACTTCCGCCGGTTCACCAGTTGTTGCCGAAATTCCGTCAGATCACTGCCCTTCGCCAGACTTTCGCTGGACTTCTGCCTGATGCCAGACTTCCGCCCATCATCGTACTTCCGCACAATGTCGAATTTCTGCCCGTCAGACTTCCGCCGGACCACTGCCCATTGCTAGACTTCTGTCAGACTTCTCCCAGACGCCGGACTTCCGCTGGACCAACACCCGTTGCCCGACGCCATACTTTCGTCCATTGTCAGACTTCCGCCCGTCACCATATTTCCTCCCATCGTCGGACTTCTATCTGTCGCTGTATTGACGCCAGACTTCCACCCGGCTACCAATCGACGTAGGATTTCTGCCCGACCATTGAATATCACCAGATTTTCATCAGATATGCATTTATCTCTAGTTTTCAATCCGACGGTTGACTTGTGTAATTTGATCATCCTAAATTTCAAGGACGAACCAGTCACTTGTAATCTATTCAAATACTAGTAGAATCATTTCAACTGTCGTAACCCCATGGTTTTTCCCTTCAAGGTTTTCAGTGTAAAAATTTCGTTGTTCTTTTTATTCTGTTTGTGTGCTGTATACTCGTACAACGCTAAGACATGATGTTTTTCGTACTTTACTGCCGCGAATACTCTAGCCCACAACAAGGCCTAAACAGGAAAACAAAAGCCACAGGAATACGGGCCATCAGCACTTCAAAGGAGAAATCAAATTCAAAAAAGAGATGAGTGGTAGATCTAGGAAAGTAAAAAACAAAAAAGGCAAACAGACTGAGCAAGAACATTCTTAAGAATAAGCTGATCAACAATCTTAAGACCCCCCATATCAAAGCCAACTAATTAAAAGAAAAAAATCTAATAAAAGCTCTTTTGTGCCACACAAATTTAAACCAAGATGCCACCTCCAAATCTTTATAGTAGTCTACCAAAAGGATTTAAAAGTAGGGCTTTCCAAACCACACCAAAGAAGATAATCAACGGCAGAATTCGATATTGGAATATCCGAGATGGCATTATGAATAGAGCTAGTAAAGTTATGGGGAAAAGACCAGTTACCGCCATCAACAAAAACAGAGAGCTTAACATTAGGTGGAAACAAGCCCGAAGGAGCATAAAACAACTCCGCCAGGGAAATCTCATAGCACCAGAGATCCGCCAAGGAAATATTGTTCTTAATCAAACCAGCAATCTGAACCAAATGTCTCCAACATGCAGAAACCTATGATGCACCGACATTTCTCCTCAAACAGGCGTGCAGTATCTGACACCGTATCCGACACGACACTCATCCAATACTCCTCCGACACGTGTCGGACACACCGAAAATGTGTCCGATTAAAAAATATTAAATAAAAATTGGACACGCGTATCTGACACGCGTATCTTAAATATTTTATGAATTTTTTTAGATATAATTTCTTGTATTTTGCTGGATTTAAACTAAATTTCTTATTTCCTATCCACAACATCAAATCAACGTCCGCACTTAATACTCAATCATCGAATATTCTCATTTTCATTTCGTTTAGGCAATGAAGGTATTTTCATCTCCTCTATCGGTGACTGATAAACGGCATCGACGCCTGACTCTTGACATCCTAATACTAATCATTTCAAGCACAAATTCTAGTTAAATGACTTATTATTTTCAAATTATTTTTAAAGTTATACTTATTTAATTTTTATACACTTTTTCAAATATAAAAACTATAATACCGTATCCAACCCGTGTCCGTGTCCTATATTTTCAATAACTGACGTGTCCCGTGTCCGTGTCCGTGTCGTATCTGTGTCGCCTTGTCCGTGTCCATGCATCATAGGCAGAAACTCTCCTACCAATAGGTTTACAAGAGGAAATGTAATTGTTTCTAAACCAACAACTCAAAGTCAAAGAAGTCTTCAAAGTTCAAAAATAGTGACGTAGAATTAAAAAAAAAACGTTCGAAAATAAAACATGTGGTAGGAGATAACTTGAATGTTCACACTAACAACTAACAGCCAACAAAGAAAAAATCAAACTTTGTGTGCTCATACTGTCAAAGAATTCAAATTTTTTCTAAATTATCTCATTCATTTGCGAGCAGCCAAATGAGAAGAGAACTACTTATTACAGCTGCAGCAACAACATCACAAAGTATAATCTATACATAGTTTATTTATTGTAATGATAGCGCCAAATGACTAAGAATCTAAGCTATTTTTACACTTTCTGTAAATAGAATGGAGATGTTCAATCTATAGAACATTTATTGACAGGATTGTCACAAAATTTTCCAAATCCTTAAGAAAAGAAGAAAGAAATCTCATCATAAAGTTCCTAACTTTTACAGGAGAACTTCTGAATTTTCGCATAGAGAACTGAGAAGAGAACCAAACCTCAGTAATCTGATAATAAAATTCTCTCCAACTGACTTAGAAGGAACTTGTAGGAGATTTACTCGAGCTTCCCTCTCCATTTTCTGCTACAGATCCCACCAATCCCTGCTCAATATCGTTAATCCTAGGGCTACTGCTAGGAGAACCACTCGTCCTCTTCCCCATGCTCAAAATCCTTCTTAAAGACCACAGCTTTGGTGTAGCAGGTGATCTCTTATCCTCCACAGGCGTCTTTATTTCCTCAATTTGAGACCTGCTAGAAGGCAATGGTGATACCGACGATGAGAACAATCCCTCAGTCGATCGAGTAGGGATTGAGATCATTAAATTCCTATCAGAAGAAGCAGATGCGCCCGAGTTCTCTTCCTCCGAAGCCAGTCTCCTCGCGCTAACCTGATTCAGATTCCCCCAAAACAGAACATTCGTAGGTATATCAGGCGATTCAGCCGATCGATTTCCATCGTCTTCGACGGTCTCAGGGCCGACCGTGCAACGACAAATCGGGCAAGTGGAATGGGATTGGAACCACATATCAATACATTCAAGGTGGAATCCATGGCGGCATTTCGGAAGCAGGCGAACCTCTTCTCCGGCGGCGAGTTCGGAGAGACAAACGGCGCATTCGAGCCCGTCCTTGAAATCACTCGGCCTGTAAAGAGTGATTGGGATTGAGCTCAGAACGGCGGGGTCGAGACCTCGACTGGGGACCGCGGCGTTTCCAGCCGCGAAGATGAAATGGGCACGGCGACGGTCAGGCCTTGATCCCCAATAGTATTTGGCGTAAAAGTAAAGGAGGAAGACAAAGATAACGGTGAGAAAGAGGAACATTGCCCCAACGACAATGGTGAGCGAGTTTATCTTTATATCCATTCTTGAGCTGCGGCCGATGGACGATGATAAACTGTTCTCAGCCATTTTTGAGTGGTAAGGTGAAAAAAAAGGGTATTTTGGAGGTTAGATTTTGGGCTTCAAATCTCAGGAAATTGGTGAGGGAATGCAGTGTGGTTGTTAGAAAGAAGATGACGCGAGCGAAGCCCTAAGAATTGCAACGCTTATATAGGGGGGGATTGAAGGGGAGGAGAAAACGAGGAAGGTGAGGAAACTGATAGCGCAGTTGACGAACATGAATGAATCAAAGTCGAGTTTTTTCTTCTGCGTGTTGGCCAACGAGCAACGTTGGAAGTCTAGGATTTGGAATTTTCTGTCTATTAATTTTTTAAAAATAAATATTAAAAAAAATTCAGGCGAAGGAGCTAGTTTTCTTTCTTTTTAGTTAAAAAAACGTTTTTATTTTGTCAATTTTGTCCAGTTGCTAGGACGACTTGACCGGGTCGTCGTATCTTATGAGTTTTAAAGTTGATAATGGCATTAATATTGGGTGATTGGATTTTTTTTTTTTTAGGTGATTGGAAAAAATTGGATCAGATATTTATCCGAACTTAGACTAATTTGATCCGAAAAATTTAGATTCGATTTGATTCATTTAATTAATAAGTCGGATTTGGATTAGATTTTTTTGACCCATTTATTGAGCAAGTCATATTTGTATTGATTTGAGAAACATATTTCAACCAAAAAATACTTTTTTAATTTTTTACTTGTAAGCTTAATCTTTTTTTTTTTATCAAATATTATAAACTTTATAGTCAATAGATTATAAAAAAATAACTAAAATGGGTTAATTGGTGGAATTGGGTCATTCGACTTGAAAGTGGGTCAGGTTTTATTGATCTTTTTTACTCTAATAAATTGGTTGGGTTCATATTGAATGAATTCTTGTTGGATCAATTTCAAATTTGACTCAAATCCAGCCCATCTATCTAGCTTGACGCCCCTATTCCCAATTCAATATCTTAATTTTTATTATGGCAGAATTCTAAATCAGTATATAACATAAATTTTTTTTTGTGACAAATATATGATATATGATTGTTGCGGGCTAGAATATACGCGGCGGTAGAGTTTACAAATTCATGTACGAGCGTTGCACGAATATTCAGCACACAAACAGAAAAGAAAATGAACACAAGGATTTTTACGTGGAAAACCCAGAAGAGGGAAAAAACCACGGGGCCACGCCCAGCTGAAAAGTTCCAGTAGTGTTTTTGTAAATTATAAGAAACTGATTCATCCCACAAATCAGGACGATCAGATTACAACTTGAAGCAAATTTACAAAGTTTTGTAGAATCCCATTGTTTCCCGAAAATCCGGCAGAGTTCCGACATATTCAAGCGGCGGGAAGAGCTCCGGCGATGGTCGAGGAGGAGAGGATTCTCCCTTTCCCCTTTCTCTTCTTCTTCCCTTCTTCTTCTTCTCTCTTCACTTGAGTCCCTCTTGTGAAGAATGAGGGCTATATTTATAATTTTTATGGAGTGGCATGGCATGTAAATTGGTGTGAGATCAGGGGCGAATTGGGAGTGGTTTGAATGAACGGCCGATATGGAACAATTTGATTGTGCATCATTCGTTGGACATTTGAAGGCCTTATTGATATCGGAATTCGGCGATCTTGGGCTCATTTGATTCATCTCGTCGAGCCGTTAGATTCGAGTATAAGCTCGTTAAAATCGGAGACCATTTGGTAACTCAAATTTTGGTTTGAACCTTCCTACAGCGCTTCGGGTCTTTGATTCAGACTCATTTGGGCTCGGATTGGGTTGAATTTGGTGTCATTGGGTTAGTATTTCCGAGACGCTCAGTTTGACTATAAGCTCGCTGAAATCAGAGTTCGGAAGCTCCCAAATTTAATTTTTGAAGTTTCCGGTTCAATTTTGCCTCGAGATTCGTGCATGATCAAGATAATTTTTTTAGAATTTATCTAAAAAAGAATAATTTTATGTTAAAATTTTGATATTTTATCATAATTTTTTTAATAAATATCTGATGAATTTATATTATTTTTAAAACTATTATATATAGTAATTAATCACCTCATGTGAATTAATTAAGGTCCGTATTATATGCATTGCTGGAATAAGGAAAAGTTTTAAAAAAACTTATATATCTATATATAATAAAAAATTTTAATCTTTAAATTTTTCTTATAAATTGTATAAACTTTATCCTTCTAAATTTTGAATAAACATTTTTCAAGTCTTTTTATTTAAAATTTCAATCCTATCATTAAATTATTACTTAATTATCATTTATATAATTTCTTTTAATATTTTTAAACTATTTTGCTATATATCATCACAATTACAAATTAGCAATTCCAGCTTATCAGTAACCCAAAACAGTTCAAAATTCTTATTCTATTTATTTTTTTTGGACATTTATGTCAATTAAAGCAAATTCATGCACACATCACATATGCAAAACTCAAACTTATGACCTCTCAATAATCAAAGCTCTCAATCAACAGACTAAGGCTTCATTTGAGACAACTTTCTTATTGCTTCTTAAAATAAATTTCTAGTATAAAATTTTTAATTTTTGTATAAAAAATTATTAAAAAAAAAAACAATAATAAAATCGTCCTAAATGAAATCTAAGTTGAGCTGTGTTGTTAGATTTACTTAGTATAATTGAACTGCACCGATAACATACCGTCAAATAAATTAGCATACTTTCCCTTTGTTACTAAAATGCGAAGGAAACAGTCCTAATCCATTAAGAGAGATATTACAATGAATATAAGATGATCGATTCAAAATAAAACCAATGCTTAAATTATTATTATTATTATAAGAGATGAGCATCAAAGTGTAATAGAAATTAACAGGCTAGCTAATGCATTTTAAGGAGTGAAAGCTCTGGATTAGGAGTGTAAGTGAGCCAAGTCAACTTAAACTAGACTCGTTAATGAATTTACGAGTCAAGCTTATCGAGTTAGGAATTTGAGCTCGAGCCTAGTCGACTTGACTCATAAGCTTGCCGACTCGCTGAATTAACATAAATTATGTTTCAAATTTAATTTTAAATATATATATATATATATATTAAAAAAAACTATTTCTATGTACTACAATTATTTTATTTGCATATTATAAGTAAAAAAAATCTTATAAATCTATAATTTCTTACTGTAAACCTATAGCATAAAGACCGCATAGATTTTCTATAGTTTATATCTCAATCTGATCCAAAGCACCTCTCTCTCTCTCAAAGGGCTCAAACAGGTCTCCTATGAACCCCACCTTATTAAAGAGAAACTTCATTCCAAGTCTTGGGCTTAATCTGCAAATACGCTAAGACCTTAGGTTTCCACAAACACTACTCAACTCAGTAGTCACAACACAACTCTAGTTAAAACTTACAAGTTATTTTTATCCTTAGAAAGAATTAACTTCTTAATTTTATATAAAAATTTAAAACTCGGATGAAAAAAACTGTAAGTGACAATAAAATTTTTATATGAACAACTTGAAGAGAGAGAAATCATGAGATCTGACTCGGTTGAAATAATTTATTATATATATGAGATTAAGGAAATATACTCTTCCCCTCAAGGGGACAAGATGAGATTACAAAGTATAAACCATTAGCTTAACCTCTTGTGGTTGCTATAGAGAATGATGGGGATGGAGAAGCAATGAAGGGTGGTGACAGTCTGACAAAGGTCAATAGATGCTACTCAAACAACAATGATTAGACTAGATAGACATATGATGATGCTCGAACAATGAGAATCGGGCAACGATTGAGGCAATAGTAATCGAGCGATGGTAGTTGGACAGACGGTTGGGCAATGACGATGATCATCTAGAATTCATTAATTAGATCTTTGCTTATAGTGATTATTGGTGGTGATTACCGAAAAATTCAATGGAGCTATTTACATTCCTCAGCTTTTGAACCCCCTTCAAATAGAAGCTAAGAACCTATTTGTACCACTATTTAGTGGAGTATTTTGATAAATTTAGCTAGAATTTAAAACGCTCAAACAAGCAATTCATATCAATCTCCTTGATCATAAATGATTAATCCAACAATTAAGTTCCTTAATGATCTCAAATTCACATGACCTTGGGCTCGTTATATTCTTTTTGTCAAGCCGCTCGATTTGACTATAAACACAAGATTTTGAGACCATTTGAACTTCCAATTAATATTCATAAATTTTCAACTATATTTTGAGTGCATGATTTAAGCTTATTTAGATTCATATCAGATCATTTGTGATGTCAATAGCTTCATCACATCAAGGCGTTAATTTCAACTATAAATTTGTCAAAATCAAAACTTGGATGATCATAAATTTAATTGTAAAAATTTTCAATTCAAATATTACAACGAGATTCGTACTGATCAAATGAATTTTTTATAAGCAAACCAAATTATTTGTCGATGATGATCAACAAGGAATATTGTAAGTCCGGTGATAGTGGATGGTCAGCTTGTTCATTCTTCTAATATTAGAGGAGACCAAGCAAACGGAAAAATGAGACCAAAAGCCAATAGTAAGTGAACATCTATCATTGGTGGTGTTGAGCAGTTAATGAAGAGCATAAAAAGTCTATTAATGATAGGTGATTAGCTTTATAATCACCTTAATAAGACGGAGATATGAGAGACTAAGAGGACAAGCCTCTACGAGATGAGGATCACAAATGCCGGGCATCAATTATCGTCATGCATCAAGCAAAGATTAATGGAGAGCGTTGGAAGTCGAATGATATTGGGCAACCAAGTTGGCATAGTTATTCTCTCGACAAGACGAAGATTGGGCAACAAAGGAATAGGCATTCAAGTGTAAGTGTCTATCAATGATTGAGAGGAAATGTTGAGGGTTAGGTGATCAACTTAATTCATTAGCTTGGTAACAGGGGAGATTGGGCAAACAAAATGAAAAGAATTAGATGTTTTTTAGTAGTAGAATTTAGATACTAGTCATTAGCAGGCATAAGGGCAAGATTGGATGGAAAACATTATTGATTGACTAATTATTTACAATTGACTTGGTCACTCTCCTACTAATAGGGGAGACGTGTCGACAACGAAGATGAGCATCAAATGTTGTTGTGCCAGGCCATGATAGGTGGTAACTTGACCACCCTTCTGATAGATGGGAAGATCAAGAGACTAAGAAGATCATTGTTACGCCTGAACCGGCCTAGCCGGCCCGTTGGCCGTCTCAGCACGTATACAAGAGGCGGACACAGTCCCCCTCCTCCTCCCTTGTCCGCCGAAACGGATGGGTCCCACCCATCAATAACAACAACAACAACAACAACATCAAGCCTTTATCCCACTACGTGGGGTCGGCTACATGAATCTCTTTTCTCCATTGTGTCCTATTAAAAGTAAAATTCTCGTTTAAATCTAATAAAGGAGTCCTCCTATCATTATATGCTATATGTAAATTAATGGATGATTTTTTTCATTGGTTTTATGCTATATGTATTTGGGTTTTGTATTTTTTTTTATAAATTTTGTCATTTTTTGGTATTTATCTTAATAGGTATTAAAATTCAATAGAGGGGGGCGGCTAGAGCTTTGGGAGGGAAATTAGATTAGGAAAGTTTTTGTATTGAAGTGCATGAGGGGATTAGGGAGATGTTATATTTTGTTTGATTGCAAATTAGAATTTTTTGGCGTTTGGGCTCTAGACTCTCTTGTCTAGAGATTTGGGAGAGACGATCCTCCTCTCGAATTGCGGATAATTTGTATCTTGTTTTTGTGTTTGTTTGGCTTTGTTCTCTTATTGCAATCCATCGTTTTGGGGCTTATTTCGCCCAGATTTTGCATTATTCTTGCTATTTTCACCAATTGGAGATAGGTTTGCTTGCGAACTCAAGTATTACCCATAGGGTTACTTGCGAACTCAAGTATTTCCTATCAATTATTGATGGATGAAAATGGTTGACAGAAGTTATTCATTGACAAGATTCAAGTGATGGCCTCCAAAGAATGTTAAAATTTGAGCAATAATTAGCAATTAGCTTGGTCATTGTCTTAATATGAGCAGAGACCAAGTGAATACAAAGACAAACATCAAACATTAATTTCTGGAAGATAACAAAGATCAATTAACGAGTCATGCCAAGCAGTAGGTAGCAAAGGGCAAGGATTGATGACTAATATGGTTCATCGGCCAACATCGATCGATGATTGACAATGAGAGAATGATTGACAATGTTGATTGACGACCAACATTAGGTGGCCAACAACGATAGGCACAATGTTGATTGACAGTAATCACCAAGTGTCATGTGACAACAAACAACGAATTGGTGTCAAATAGATTAACTTTTAGCATTAGATGGTGGGTGATAATGAGTGACAACAGGTTGGCATCAAGTAACAAGCATCCCATTTGTTAACATCTTGTTAGACCCGTCCACTGGACTGGTCCAGCCGATCCATATGGAACCGACTCAGGCAGAACAGACGCGCGACGGAGCTGCCAAAGCCAACAGAGCGAGTAGGAAGGATTTTTGGGAGAGTTAGAAGAGAAATTTGAATGTAGGGAATGATTAGTGATTTCCTTCTGGATTGTATGCATTAAATAGTTTGTTTTCCTAGGGTTAGGGCATCTTGAATTTGGCTGAAATTTGAGATCTTTGAGACTTAGATTTTTTTGAGCTCTAGCAGCGTCTAGAGATTTGGGAGAGATAGATCGTCTTTTTGAATAGAGGATAAATTGTATCTTGGTATTTTCCGTTTCTATTTCATCAAATAATACAAATTATCTACTGTTTTTCTGGTTTTTGTGTGGATTCTTGCGAAAGAATTTATGTTGTTTTTCAAAATTTGATAGGAAATTCTTAAGATCTACAAGTGTTTCCTATCACATTTCCTGCTTAATTTTCTTCTTTAATAATGTCAAAAACATACAATCATATCAATTTTGCAAGTTATACCAATACAAAGTCCTAGCTTCCCAAGCCAAAAAAATATATAATAAATGGAATCCTTCAAGAAATTGGTGCCCATAATCAAATCAACTGGTCAACTAGTAAAATGAATAAGAAAATCAACCATATCTAATATATCTAATACATATTGTATAAATTGATTCATAAATACAAAGGCAATTAATAAATTTACAAAAGAAAACTATCTAATAAGATAAATGGCAAAGCAAGCAAAAATCTTAACAATAAACAAATAGAAAACTACTTTTAATCCACAAAGCACCTCAAATAAGCCTTGGTCAACAACTATGCAGAAAATAGAAGTAGACCCCATATTGTAATTTTATAATTGTTGCATGTTAAAATATTTGTAACAGGAGAAAAAAACTTTAACGTGTTCATATTGAAAAAGAAATATGAAAAAAAAAAAAGCTGATAACATACCGCTAGTCACCTCAGCCTCCTGATCCTGCTAGCGACGAGACAGGAGTTTTAGATATGCAAGGCAAACCTGAAATTCTTTTGAATGAAGGTCTTTTTTTTTTTTTTGCAAAATCAAGAATATGACACATTAGAAGCCTCAAAAATGTTGGTTTACTTAATCCAACTTCAGATCAGATTGAACCCCTCTGCTTACGTTACCAGCTTGAGCAGTTTTTCCCCTTGAATGCCATGCTACAAAAGCTTTAATCCGCCAGTTACATCATCAACAACATCAGCAGGTCCTGTTAATCCACAAGGCGCTAAGAAATTTGAAGTGCAACATAGTAACTGGTGAAATTATAATGTAATGCTCTCCAAATAAATATTCACTCGATAGATTTGATTTTCTAGAGTTGTTGGTCGTATCAATATATATATACAATTTTTTTGGGCAAAATTTTTTGTCAAGTTTTCATGATCAAAATTTAATCACTATGATGATCATTAAATTTATTTGAGATGAGTAATATAAATTGTAACTGATTGCTTGTGAATTGCATTAATCTCAGAAAATTCAACGATTTAAATACACAAAAAATTTATATGAATATGTAATCCGTTCAGGAAAGTTTAAGACACAAGAAAAACATAAAAATGAGGTTTTATGTGTGGGCTCTTTTTTTTAGAGTGACGAACTACTACATTGCAATAGTCTACATTTTCACAAACCTATTTGTTTAATACTTGTCTATCTTCTTTCTCCATGCACGTGAATATTAAAAACCTCATAGTTATGCACCATTCCAAGAGACCATGTAAGCAAAGGGCATGGGAGCTTGGGTTTGGTATGTCCCTTTCATCTTGTATCTCTCCTGATGTTAGTGCTTTCTTCGCACCATATAAGAAACTCTCTTCAAATTTGATTTTGACAATTTCCCCCCTTGCCTGCTATGCTGGTTTGGAAATTTTATTTGGTCTGGTAACCTGACGTAGCTCTACATTCGGTGAGCAGTAAACAGGCACCACGTGTTCTCACTATTTACCGCACGGCCCGACAACCCGACCCGGAACGGACCTGGGAGTTTGCGTATTGCTCGGTATTGGTATTGGTCGATTTTGCTCGACAAAAACCAAAAATACCATTATGTGAAGACCAATACCGAACAATACCGAGCAATACCGAGTTCTTTAGGTATTGCTCGGTATTGGTCTTCACAGAGCGGTATTTCTCGTTATTACCAAGCAATGCCTAGCAGTACCGAGTAATACCTAGCAAATACCGAGCAATACGCGAACATAGTAATCCCGGACTCCGGTGCGAGAAGGGTCATCGGGCCGCACGGTAAAGAGTAAGAGCACGTGGCGACATATTATTAGCTACCGGACGTAGAGCTACATCAGGTCACCTGACCTAATAATTTTTCGCTGGTTTGAGGGCATAATAACTCTCGTCTCTCCTCCTCTTGCTTGTAGTTTCTATCCTAACCTCCAAAAAGCGTTCCTCTTAAAAATCGTGGATCTAACTGATCTCTTCTCAGTGCCTGCGGAGCAACTTGTGTTCAGAGGTTAGGTTCGGCTCCAACCCGAAAGACTTGACATAATTATAGTCAACTTGAACAAGATTAGTCTATTAAACAAGTAAAAAATTTAAACTTAAGCTCAACTTTATCAAACCTGACCCGACACAACACAAAAAAACATTTAATTTGTGATGGGTTAGTGTCAACCTGATCTCAAAATAAACATAATAATTCGATTTAGATACGACAGCTAAAAAAATAACAAAAAATTATAGTTTTATATGTTTTGGATTAAAAAAATGAATTAAATAGCTAGGTCATTATTTTTTGGGTTGACCCAAACTCGACTCAATTTTTAAAGCTACTTATGTTGACCCAAATCCGACCTGAATATTACACGAGTTGGCCTAAACCCAAATTTTTTTGAACTAGGTTCAAGTCGGGTATATATGTCAAGTCCAATATCAACACCCCAACTTTCAATACTTCTCTTCAAACTCCCATTAGATTCTCTCAAAGGACAACGAGAGAAATCCGCTCCCAAGACCAGCAACTCCAAACAAAATCCTAAAAAAAAACGAACAAAACCTTAACTAATCTACTTTGGGTCAAGTCCATGCATTGCATCTTAAAATGTAAGAAAGCTCTCGAGGGAAGAAAGCATTTTGGATTGTCTTCACCATATAGTCGCTCACAAAAGTAACATTTTATACCTTTTGGAGACCAAAATAAATATACTCTCTTTGAGGCCAAAAATTCTTCCATAATCTTAAGTTGTTAAATCATGAGAAAAGTACAAACAATCTCTCTGGTAGACTTTGAGGGACTTCACTAGCTAAAGTGAAAAAGTCTTCTTCTCCCACTCTCTTTTCGGATTGTGATTTATCCAAAAAAATGGGGGTCTTGAAAGGAACAAACTATGGAAGACCATTAAGAATTTCTCTACCGGAGTTGGTCATAATGGGTTTTAATGGGGAATTTCAATATTATTCACTCCTATAAAAATAAGGTTGGTGGTAGGATACCTCTACCTTCAAAATCATTGATTTCAATGATTGCATTTTCAAATCAAGATTACTTGAGCTTTCCTAGTGTTGGTCTTACTACTACTTGGTTCAACAATCAATTATACTTTCCTATCAGATCTAAACCTGATTGGGTTGTCTGCAATCCCTCGTAGATCAACAATTTCTGTACATACTAATTTTGTTATGCAATGGAACTAGCGCTTTCAAGCTAAAAATTCCAAGAAACTATGGTAATAGCCCAGTTTTTAATGTATATGAGTTGATGTTATTTCAAGAGCTTGTTATTAGCTAAATGGATATAACTTGTTCTTGTAGTTATTCAAGATGATGAAATTGTGTTGATTTTGATAATGGATTTCAGAGTTATCTTATTCATTGACATGACAAACCTCTTTGTGAATAATCGAGGACTATGCATCACACGCCACAAATTGCTTAATGAGTACCAAATGTCAAATTCAAAACTTATTTTTTTTCCAAACGAAACCTAAATTATTATATTATACTGAAGGAAATTCAAAACTAAATTTATCCAAGCCGAGCAAATATGATGGAAATATACAAATTCATTCTAAATCAAGAAATAATTTGAGCATTATTTATTTATTTTCATTACTTGGTTTATTTTATTTTAGTTTACAATTTTTTTTAATTGGAACATGTTTGTAATTATGACCTCATGAAAGCGTGTATTTGCTTCCTAATGTTAGGTTAGTCTATATGTGTTGACATGAGCTTAGTTTGGTTTGGTTCTTAGATACCTTCAAGTTAAACCCTCGAGTTTAAATATCTTTCAGGGGTTGTTTGGGTGGAAAAACTTGAGATTCAAGGGAGTTTTAAATACAATGTGAAGTAAAATTATGCATTTAAAAATTTCACAGGTGATTGGTTTCTTGTAGAAGGAACTTGTGAGTTTTTTTTTTATTTATTTGGTTGCTTGCAAAGTAAAACCAATATTTGAAATATGAAAGCAACCTAATGCGCCAGGCACCAATGGTGATCAACGGTAGTGGCAGCGATGACAACCAACAACATGGTAGTGAGCGGTGACAAACAGTGGTGGAGGTGAGCAAAACTTCACAATTTCAATGTACTAGGGATTCCAAATACCTTTACAATGAACTTTCAAATACCTCAACATATTACTCTATATTTATTTTGCTTCGAACAAAACACCCAAAAATTAAAATCCCTTGCATCTGAATTATTTTTCTATTGACCTGCATACCTAAGCAAATAAAATAAAATGAAATTTGTACCTATTCGGACATCCAACGACGCCTTTCGCACGATGTCCCCATACCAACATCGTGTCTATGCATGATCTCTATCCAAATCGCGTTGATAAAGGATACAAGCGATACCTCATTTGCACTTCTCTTCCCCACTTGGCATCCTTCGTCGTTGTTCGACTTTGTCACTTCGACGACATTCCCTTCAAGTCAGATCGGAAGTTAAGACACTTCGATCAGAAGTAGGAACGGGAGCTTGTTCACTGTGGAGGCAACTTTCTACCTTTGGCCTGCTTCTTCGCCCCTTCGACGACATTCCCTTCCTGTCAAATAGAAATTTAAGAAATTTTGGGCGGAAGCAAAGAAGGGAGCTCGCTAACTGAGAGGGTAACTTTCTCCCTATTGAGCGCTTCTCTGGCTCCTTCGTGGCTGTTCGACCTTGCCCCTTCGACGACTTTACCTTCCTGTCGGATAGGGAGTTACGACATTCAGATTGGAAGCAATAATGGGAGCTCGTGTGCAGTGAAGGTAACTTTGTCCATTATAAGTGCTTCTTCGGCACCTTTGACGACTTTCCATTCCTGTGGGATCGAAAATTAGGGCATTTTGATCGGAAGCAATACGGAAGCTCGCTTGCTATGGAGGTAACCTTCCCCTTTGCGCGCTTCTTCGGCCTAATCTTGTAAATTTGCCAAACCAAAGAGGTAGAGGGAGGGGATTAATGGTTTAATGGATTTTAATTAGAGTTATATTTAATTTAAAAAAATAAAGAAAGAAAAGAAGTATAATTAATATAAATTATAATCAAATTAATTAATTATAATTATTTTTAATCATTATTAATTATTATTAATTAGTTATAATTAATTTAATTTAATTAACATTAATTAATTATAATTAATTATTTTAATTAATGATGATAATTATAATTAATTGTAAATAAATATAATTAATTAAACATAATTATAATTAGTTAAAATTAATTGATATTAATTATAATTTAAAAAAATAAAGAAAGAAAAGAAGAAAGAAGGATGCTAGCTTGCTCCCTTGCCTCGATCCACAAGCCGACACAGTCGCCGGCAACTCATGCAAGGTATGAAGTTCCAAATCCCGCCCTTGATGCGCTTGATGCGCTAGTGAACCTCCTATATGCGCTCTTGTAGTACGGTGGGGGGAATCCAGTGCAACAGGTGTGACGAGGCGGGTAAGTCCTATACACGTTCTTGTAGCGTGGTGGGGACAGTCCTCGATCTCGACATCAACGCCGCCGAGAACTGCTATGCAAGGTATAATGTTCCAAATCCCATATTCGAAGTTTGCAACGGACCGGAGAACCACCTATATGCACTCTCGTAGCATGGTAGGAGGGAATCCGGTGCGATGCATACGGTGAGATGGGTAAACCCTATACACGCTCTTGTAGCGTGGTGGGAAAAGCCACTGGTGTTCTCGTACAGGTACTGTTGAAGGCCCCATACACGCTCTTCTAACGTGGTGGGATGAAAAGATATACAGACGT